CAGGGCAAGATATGACAAAATAATAATTTATAAATTATCAAGGGCTCATGAGGGAGTGGGACGGACAACAGAAAAGTGGGTGAAGGGAGATGTCAGACAGGGCAAGATATGACAAAATAATAATTTATAAATTATCAAGGGTTCATCGGGGGGCGGGGGGGGATGAGGACCTGATGCCAGGGGCTTAGGTGGAGAGCAAATGGTTTGAGAATGAAGGCAATGAATGTACAAATGTGCTTTACACAATTGATATATGTAAGGATTGTGATAAAGAGTTGTATGAGGCCCTAATAAAATGATTCAAAAAAAGAAAGAAAAGTTCCAACCCACACACTATTAAAAAAAACAACCCAATCTGTAATTATACATTGTGAAAGATTTATTTCTAATTAAAAATCAATGAAAAAAATAAAAACAGAAAGAAAAAAACTAAAAGAAAGTTTACGTTCTCCCCATTGCATATTACCTGACAAAAATGTCATTTACTCTTTGATAACAATCTTGCCTTACTAATTAAAGCAGAATATGCTATCCATAAGGGAATTTTTCAAAAGTCATGAAAATATTTCATTATTCTTTAATTCCACATTTTCCCATAAACTTTTTGAAGCTATATTACCTCTTCTGGGTGTTTCTTCCCCACTTGGAAGTCCATTTGGAACAGGGTCCTGATCTGCTCCCATTCTCTGATCTTGCTCCTGCTGCAACTGTCTTATCATTCCATCCAGAATACTAGACTCTGGGCTTCGTTCACCATTATCATTGGTTTGGAGGCTTATGACTTGTTCAATTACCTCACCATCACCTACAAATATAAGGAGTATGTATCTATAATATGTAAGCACAGTACACTAAGATTCCAACAGACAATGCTTATAATTAAAGATGCATTACTAATTCTCAGAATTTCTGCTTTAAATAAATAATTGATTAAAAACATCCTAAACCTCATAATTAATTAAAATGTTTGAGGAACAATTCAAGCAAATGATATACTTCCTTTGAAAGTTTGTTGTTACTGGTCACCAAGTGGATTCATTCATAGAGCCCATGTAGACTAAGTAGAATGAAAATTCTACTTCAGCACCTGAAATCCCTGAAAATTGAGTATACGAAAACAAGCTTTTTATGAAACCTTTCTAATGCCATTTCAGATGTTTGTGATAAGATACATTTTAAACATCTTTCTGTCTGTGGATTACTGTGATGCCATATAGCAATTTCAAAAACAAGTATGATCACTCAAGGAGAAAAGGTTTCAGTAGATTATAAACTACGAACAGAAGTCAGCTGAGAAGTAAGCTGCAGAAAAGTATATGAATAACAGCAAAACAGTCAGATACAGAGCCAGAACGTGAGTCCTTCAAACTCTGACTAGAGAAGAGCTGCCACCTCAATGTAACGTCAGTCATAATGACAAGATCAGAGTAGCTTTCAGACCTTCATTTGGTGATGAAACATGACTCGGAATGAGGAAAAAACAGCTGTAAGCACCTATTTAATCATCAGAACATAAAATGTTGGAGGTATGAAAATTGGAAATCCTCAAAATTGAAAAATTCACTGACAAAAGAGGGGAAAAAAACCCAAAGGGACATTAAAAAGAACAAAATGGATGTCAGAAAGGGACTCTGAAACATGCTACTGAACATAAGAGTAGCTAAAGCAACTAGAAAAAATGATGAAATAAAACAGCTAGACAACATGCCGGCACGGAGTAGGGAATCAGTGGAGAGGTTTGGGAGCTGGTCCCAGCCCCAAATACTAAGTGGATGCCTGTCCCTCCCCCGAGAAGAATTTATTTCAAAGGATG